CAGGACAAGGAAGGCTTTGCATTTGGAGGGAGTCTTGGGCTTCTGCGGGCAGCAAATATGAAAAGCCAAAGTCACTAGCACCCACGAAAAATAAAAATTACTTCCCTTGGGGCGCCCTTGATCTCTCTTTGGCCTCCCAGACTCTTCCCAGCATTAGGCTCAAACTTTCCTCCTGGGACAATATTCCAGATGAAAGGAGGACACATTTATTCAGCCTTGTTTAAAAATATTTCAATGCTCCCAAAAGGTCCTAAAATCAGCCCAGGGATTGGCTGGCCCCACACTGGTATCATCGTGTCTATTGCTCTACTGCTGAGAATATCACAGTTATCACCCCGGATGTGGGTCTCTCTCAGAACGAGAACCTCCTACCCCGAATTCCTGATTGCCGGCTCCATCTGCAGTAGGAGATTCCATGGGAATCAGGCTGGAGTTTTTTCTCCTCCTGGTTCTGCCAAGGTTCTTGAGGACAGCCGATCCCCTCCCCTATACGAGGGCAAGAGAGGCCGGATCTCCATCCAAGGCCTTATCTTTCCGTCTTTTCTCCTGACACAGTTCTCCTCTACTAGGGCGCCCTCTGGAGTTGAGCAAGGCACCAGCTTTCCCTGAATCTTCTGCCAAACATGCTCCTGGCCAACTGCCTAGAGGGAGGGGCCCCTTTTCTGTGGGTCTCAAGAGAGGTCTCAGGCTAAGTGGAAGGTGAAGAGGAATAACAGAAGTAGTTGTTCCACCATCCTTCCAAGTACATTCTCCAAAAGTAGTGCCTTTCCAACTATTTTTAAGGTAGTACATATTGACAAGATCTATCATCTTGTAGAGCCATCTATGATAAAAGACATAGGCCAGTGGTTCTTAACCTGGGGTGGGTGGCTTCACAGACCTGCCCTGTGATGACCCTTGATGGACCTTCTCCTCAGCAAATGCGCACACGAATAGACACACTGATGTGGGCAGTTGGTTTCAGGCAGTTGCACATCCATTGTCCCTGGGTTCAGAGCCCCGGAAGTCTGGAGGAAGCAATCAGGGTGAAAGTGGAACTGTAAGACAAGGACTAAAGGAAGTCCGAGAGTGGCACATTTTTTTCTTGGTGGTCCTTACCCACCAGCCCATGGGAAAACCCCATGTTCCTCCACCCCTGCCGCCTGACCCTGCTCTCTGGTTCATTCCCCCTGGTGACAACTCTGGTCTGGGAGACACTAAAGGGACATAGGACACCACTTAACCTTGTTTATCTCGTCCATCTGGTCTTACCCAGCTGTCTCCGTGGGTTATTCTCTGAGTTCCACCATTTAAGCCTCTGGGACTCTCAGCTCTTCCCGACATTAAGGCAGCCAGGCCTTTGAAGACGTTTCTGTCCTCCCCTCACAGTCAGGTTTTACAGATCACTCAGCCCCCTGTCACTACCCTATCTGAGGGCCTCAGGGAGATCCTGCTTCTCTGATGACAACTGGGCCTCTTAGTCTGATCCACTTTCCTCTCCCTCCTCATCCCAGAACTCTGACCTTCCAGCTCTTGGAGCAAGTCTCAGGCTGCCTTGGTAAGAACATCTGCATATCTAAAACCCACATTTACATTTTATAACTTAAAATTCTGGGAAACCGGGGCAGAGTTCAGCTCTGATATACTAGTGGGAAGGAAGCATTATGCAACCCTCACCAAAGGTGTGTTGGGGTGGGGGGTGTCTGGAAGTATGTTGTGTGCATCCTCCCTGAAGCTGTGTGTCCAGGAGGGGGCCGTGAGCATCCTTAACCTGGGCACGTCCATGTGGACTCTGGCTCAGGTTTGTCCTCCATTCAGATTGCTGTGTATTTCCTCAAAGTGTAGTCTTTGTGCCTAGTTCATTTGGGGTACCCTCAGTCTGTTGAGTGGACCCTTGGGGTAGATATATATTTCCTCAAAGTGTAGTCTTTGTGCCTAGTTCATCTGGGGTACTCTGTTGAGTGGACCCTTGGGGTAGATATGTGTTTTCAAGGCCTCAGTTTCCTCATTTGTAAAATGGGGACAACACTTCACAGGCTTGCTATGAAGGCTGCATCAGTTAATGCAGGTCTAGCTCTTACAGCAGCAAATGGCAAGTAAATTTTGGTTATTGCCCCGACAGAAACCACTTGCCCCTCTATTCCCTCCTCTCCCCAACACCTGGAGCCTTGGAAGAGGCTCAAATTTTCCCCCTGGAGATGTCACTGCCCTGAGCCTGGGTGGTGTTGAATTGGAGGCCAGGCGAGTGACAGCAGTGGCAGCAGCAGTGGTACCTCTTCTCACTCAGCCTGCATGCTGAGCTGGAGCCAAAGAAGGTCCCGGGATGGGGAACAGGGAGGAGCAGTTACTCTCCAGAGAATCAGTGGTCCTCCATAAAAAAGTAAAACCTCAAGATCTATCCTAGAAAATCCCCAACTGGAGTGCTCGCTCAGGGACCCACTGGAATTCTCTTCATTGTCATGGACACTACATCAGAACTGCCTCCCAGAAGAATCCTCTGTCCTCCTCCCCCACTTCTCTTGGCCTAGAGACACAAGCTCCTCCCTAAACTGGTTCCATCCAGCCCAAAGCGGGGATTTGCTAGGGCTTGTCTCTTCTCCCTTCGGCTGGGTTCCTGCTAAGCTCCATTAGTTTTGTCTTTATTGTACCTATCCACTGAACTAGCATTTCCTGGGACCCTCACACGTGTGAAGCAG